GTGTGAGGGAGTACACAGACACATTAGGTGGTCCAACATCTAGGAGTTGGTTAAGATATTGCTATGACTAAGACTCAGAACACATGAGTAACTCATGCACATAAAATCATGAATATGAAACATGAGGGAAGCTTTTTAAACGTATTCACATTTGATCCATCATATATGACTAAAGTCTGAAGAATTGAAAGAATTAATAGCAGTGATAATAAAATAAATGATAATTCTACAAAAGTAAGTTGGTGAATCTAATGAGAGAGACAATGATGTTTGAATTATTTTTTGGTCAAATCTGTGAAAAAAATCATATAAATCTTTCAAAGTCCCTGCAAGGTCACTATAGAGAAAATCTGAAATAAGTATGTCTCTAAAATAAATAGAAGATACTTAATATGATTATAGATACTTTATATTGCAGTGAGGCATGGCTGCGTTTCAATTTCATAAGAGCAAAGTCTCCCCTCCCCCCTTTTTTTTCAGCAGATTTTTAAAAATTCTTGGGAAATACTAGTTTGTTTTTTATCTATCTATCTATCTATCTATCTATCTATCTATCTATCTATCTATATCTCACATAATAAAAGTTTGCCATTCTTTGCTCTTTCTGACCATTCATGATGATTTTTCCTTTCTTTTGGTGAATGCCAATTTATGCATTGAAATATTAATGCATTCTAAATAGAAAGTTGAAACCTGAGCCACTTAGAAGGTTTTAGAGCATAGGAGAGTAAGTGGATGTGGTTTTTTGTTGTTTGTTTTTCTAAATAACTGTATTGTTTGCCATCATGTCCAGTTACACATCTCAAACAGAAGAGCAAATCCCTTGGAGTCACTGACTTCTAGGTCCTCATGGTGATAGACATAGCAGACTTGATTCATAACAGACTTGGAATATTTTGGTCAACCATTATGAAACAACCTTGCACCATCCTAAATTCAAGTGATCAGGATACTACTCTGGTCATCTGAGTAGCAAAATTCCCTTTGCTTTAATGTTTTCCTCAAATGGCTAGAGCATCAAGTGGCATTTACTCATTCAGATTTTACAGCAGCAGTTCCTGGCTAAATTGAATTCATGGAAACAGTCTCTTTGGTACTTAATCACAACATACCTATGAGCTTCTCCATGTGTGGTGACTGTTGGGTCATAGTCACAGACACAGGCATATGATGTGTAGTGTGCCTGTTGGTCTAATAATGTATCACTTATATGAAATATGTGTATCTATGGGCATACCAGGATCCTTCAGATCTTGAAGCTGAAATAAAAGTCATCATCAAACAGTCCAGATATCATTGCAACAGACATTCTGAGAGCTTGAAGCACAGAGAGGGCTGGGTTTGGCTTGCAGCTCTCCACTTATTGCTTCTGTGACCTTGGTCCATGTCACTGATCTCCGTGGGCCTTGGCTTCTCTTCCCAGAAGAGTATAGAAGTTAACTCATACTTAAACATACAGTTGTGAATTGTATTGATTTTATGTATCATTCCACAAAGATCTGAAATGCCACACCTCCATTTCAATAGCAATGGTCTTTGTAGAGGGTGGGGAGGTTATCCTGATTTCTAAAAAATGGATCTCCACCCATCACTTTTGAAGAGTGAGCCATCACCCATAACAACTAGAAAAGGAAAGGAGCTCCCGAGCAGGCACTTCAAAGTTCCAGGTTGGTAGCCTCAAAGAATGAAACATTCTTCTATGTATGCCAGCCTGGTTAGAGATGCCAATTTAAATTAGGCAGTAGAAAGACTAAGATATTTTTGAAGATAATTTTCAACTAATAAAACTACCAGCTACACATACTTACTGCCTGTTAATGGGAAAAAGTGTACGAGATAGTGGAAGGCTCTTGTCAACTTGTGTTTTGTTCATCATAACATGTTCAAACACTGAGAGCCGAGGGCTTACAGGTGTGCACTGCTCATACTTACCACAAAGCTAACACTTCTGTCGCTGTTTACGATGGATGGCCAACTCTCGGTCATTTAGAAGCTTTGATATACCCACGGCCTCTCCTCTCCTTCCTCTAATCAATTTCTTTTCCTGTGCCACTGGCCTTCCTCTTGGGTTTCTAACCATGCTTATCTGCCCTCTGCATCTAAAGACTCCAGGAAGATCACTCTGACGTGGCCTAATAGCTTTTATCGGCTCACCCAGTGGTTCTTGTGCTTTGATACTTGTAACCAGGACTTAACCACATGGTGCTCAGCCCTGATCAGGTCAACTGCTTGCCTTTGTGAAGGATGCTATTTATGCTGAGGCAACCACAAAATCTCCCCCACCCTCACCCCTTCCCTCAAAGTGAAAAGAAACTTGAGGATAGTCAGTAATGCTAGTGGCTCTGTAGCCACAGGGTCTCCAGTTCCCGTGGCTTCGTTTGATCTAATTAGAGAGAATTATTGGCATATTGTGGTCCAGAGCATAGCCTTTCTCTTTTTGTACTCTTATTTCAGGTGCCTGTGGTTGCCCCCCTCCCCCCAGAGCTACCAAAGTACTTTTCTTAATAACTCATTACAACTTATTTGACAAGCATGTTGATGTTTCTCCTTTTTATATAAAAATACATCTGGAGAAATTCACCAACTAGATATTTTCCTTCTAAACAACAACAACAACAACAACAAGTGATGAGAACATGTTCCTGGCGTTACCAATTGTGCTCTACAGAAGCATGACCAAAACGAATCTCCGAATTTTTCCCCTTCCCTTACAGCAAACCTGTTAGAAATGTACTCTTGATAAGACTTTTTTGGCTCACTTAGTATTCTACAGTTTAATTTTCATGAACATTGGTAGAGTTAAGGAAACCATACATACTTCAGGGTTAAAATGCCCTGATTTCAAGTGAGGTCATGCACATATCCAAATCTCGGCTTCTACTTACCTGCTGAGCATCCTTGGACAGTTACATAAACACCAAAGACTCCATTTCTTCATAAATAAAACAGTGCTTATGTTTGCAGCTCACAGGAATCTCCAAGGATAAAGTGAGGGTCATATGTGAATGCTTAATAGAACTTTGGGGCAGTTCAGTCCAATGGCTGAACCGACTGCTGCTTTGTTTGGTAGTGGCACAGTGAGAAAGCAGGGCTAACCTAGAAGGCTGAGTTAGCAAAGCCTGCCCTCTGCTAAGATACTGAAAGCCCCATTGAGAAACACTCATCCCAAGAAAGGTGGGGTGTGGAGGTGCTGGCTTCAAGGTGCTGGGGAAGGGTGCTCAGTTCCATGCTGGAGGACCACACTCTCAAGTTTCACATACATTTCTCTGTTACTTTTTTTCAGAATTATAGAGTGTGACCTTACTTTTTTTTTTCTTGCACAAGTTAGTATCACACTGCACTGAGCAAGGTCAATTCAGTTTTTATTAATATAGAACCTTGACATACCTTAATCAACCATGTGCTTGGAAGGAATGGTGGAGGTTCTGTTTCTCTCCTCTTCAGGTGGGGCTACTATGCAAGCTAAAAGCTCCCAAGTTCAAAATAGCTCAGTGACTGGCTAGGAAGGAGGAATCCTCACTTTTCCTTTCTACCCCTCTGCATTGTCATTTGGTTCCAGAGCCATAGAATGTATCTTTAATTGTCTCACTGCCTTGTATTTCATTGGCTCAGTGACTTTTTTTTAATTTAAATTTAGTACATATCAATTACAGCTAGCAAGGTCTGTTATGGTGCTCACGGGGAAATTCCACGGGACCCTCTTCACACTGGGGATGGAGAACATCTGCTACTTTTGTGTTCGGATGCCAGGATTTAGAGGTCAACGCTGAAGGCTTTGGGGATCAGGGCAAGTGTCAGGCTGCAAACAGCATAATGAATGGCAGTAGCTGACTAGCTTGTTTAGCCTGTTCTCGGCAGGGGAAATTGCCATTCTGTATAATGAGCTGGGACTTAGTGTGTTAAACACATCTAGCTTGGCAAGTGAGGTTGTCCATGCTTTTCCCCTCCTGGTTCTGCACTGCATTTTCATCTTGGAAGAAATTATATTGAGGTCTTCATTAGTGGCACCCTGCAGGGTGAGGCCTCTATGAGGGCTGATAGCAGGATGGCTTTACAAGAGAACTGGACAGCTTTTGTGAAGGGAGTTGAAGGTTTAAGTTGCCTGAACTGGAAAGGGTCTGAAGAGGCGATTATGTTAAGCAAGTAATGTGTATCGGTAACATGGAATCAAATTATGAGGGTCAGTAGCTTCCTGGCTTTTCCCACTGCATTAAATGAAGACATGAGATTGCATTTGTGCTGGGTACTTCTTGAGGCCACACAGTGTCAGCACTGTCCAGTCGTCCATACTTCACAGCATGCCACCCCTAATTTCATGGGATTATCTGCACGGCTGCTTTATTAGATGCTCGTGATCTTGAGAGTCCTTTGAACTCACAGCAGGGCCGTGCAGAGTCATTATTGTGAACACTTCCCTTACATATAAAATTCTTATACCATCATCGCCGTCATTTTAAGAAGATGGATACAGCCCACTCTCTTGCTTCCAAAACTTTGCACTTACTTGTTTTCACCACAAGCCACCTCAGGGGAAAACCCTGAGTGTGAAAGATGCTTTGGAGGGCTCCCTTTAAACAGCTGTCAGTGTGGTGGATTAATAGTGGAGAGGCCTATGGGCCTCAGGTCAACAACATCAGGAGCACAGGAGTGATGCTGATCCCATTAAATCAGAAACCCAGGGATGGGCTCAGTGGCCTGTGCTTTAACAAGCCTTCCAGGTGATTGTAAGGACAGTGTGGCAGTAACAGTCATGGTGTAAAGAGTAGGATAGACCCACATGTTTGGGGATAGAGCAATAGACGAGTCATACAAAATGCCTGCCCCCATGGATCTCATTAAATTGCAAAGGTACTTTGTTCTGATAAAATGTTCTTCCATATGCCAACAAAGCCCTCAGTTATGGCTGGTGCCATGACATCCATCTCTGGAACTAGTCTTCTGTATTCTTTGGTAGCAGAAAAAGCGAAATGACCCGTACATGATGTCTTTGTGTCTTTCAGAACCATCCCTCTTGCAATCTGCATCTCCATGGCTATCATCACAGTGGGCTACGTCCTGACAAATGTGGCCTATTTTACAGCCATTAGTGCTGAGGAGCTGTTGCAGTCCAGCGCTGTGGCGGTGGTAAGTCTAAGTTACAGTCCTAACAGCTTGAATTTAGGTTAACGAGTCAACGAAGCTTTATCATGGTTTCCTCCAGGAGAAAGCATCTCGAAGTCACTAATCTTTTCTTGACCTGAATGATAATATTTTGATTATCATTTTGATTATTAATTTAGAGCACACCTTACTTAGCATGTGTCATATGATAACAGGTAACCTCTACCCTGAGTTCTCTTTGTTATTTTTTTTAATCTCCTAAAAAGCATTTTTATATAAAGCTGCCTAAAACTCCTCCATCGAGGCTTTCTTACAAAGAGGAAATATTTTCCCAAAGTGTTTCTAAGGACAGGTGGAGTTACTGAATACAAATCAATGCAAGTTTTGATATGCAAAGTGAAACCCACTCTTCTCATTTCTGGTTATAAACTTTTCAAATGTTGCCTTGAATCCTCTCCCCAGAGTATCATTCTAGAAATTTCAGGAGGACTATGTCTATTTATCTATTTGTAGCATAACCTTGGAATAGCAGTGTTGGGGTATTTATAAATTTGGGGACAGCTAGGCAATTAAATGTTACAGAGATGTTATGCAGAGATGCTTCTGTAGTACTTGAAGAAGCCAGCGTGCACTGTAACTCCTCAAGAGCGACATACATATAATCCCAAAGCATTTCCACAAATTTATTTGACACGGGGACTATATTTGCTTCCAAAGATCATGTTATGAGACTGCTTTTTCTGTAACACATACTTGTATTTGCTCAGACGTTTTAACTCTTTAAGAAAGAATTCACTCATTAACTTAAAACCAGGAAGGGTGAAAACGTAAACACATCCAGGGACACTCCCATCACCAAGGGCAGTTCCTTTTAATGTAATATCACTTCCTATCAGCAACACCCACAGGGAATGGTTATCTCCTGTTTTGTGAACCAGTGTCTGAGGTCACAGTATGAAAAGGGCTTTGTCCACTGCCGCCCTGTCAGGCAGTAAAAGACACAAAGCTTCCGGGTGTCTGGTCGGTTGCCTCAGGTTTCTAGGCAAAGGGCAGCACTAATGTGGAGAGCATAATGGGGTCTGTTAATTGCAAGGCACCAGCTGCATCACGGACAATGAAAAAAATCCTATATTAACCAAAAAAAAAAAAAAATCCTTTATACAAATGTGCAGGACTGCCCGTGTGACAGCCTAGGAGGAAACCTTAGAACTTTGTCTATCATTTATTCATATTTTCCTGTCGATTGTCAGGATTGTGTTCTGGCTTTTTACAGGAAACCCTGGAAGGAAATGACAGCCTTGTAGGGTGGGGGAGGGCTACTCCATAAACAAACAGGTTCAGCTGGTAGGGCTTACATGGGGTAAATAACTTTCAGACTGGCTCGCTCAGGCGATGAAACGGTCAACCTGTCTATTGTTTGGATTTATCCCCATGCACTAAGGTTGGTACGTGAAACAAGTACCTGTAACCCTCGCAAGTGTGTATCTATACCTCATCATACAAAGGCGGCTTTCTGGGATTGTGCAGAACAATTTCTGTCTCTTAAAGTAGAATTTCCGAACTGAGCCCCTTCCTCTTATCAAAGGCGATAGTTGATAAAGAGTCAGTAAACGGATCGTTGCTTTGGAGGGACGGAGAAGGCGACTGTTTAGACCTTTGCCCACAGGTCTGAGACAAGCAATGCCATGCTACCCGCTTCTGATGATTGTCTTGTGGAGTCAGTTTGACCCTAACGAAAAAGAAGGATTATAAAACATTCACGTAGCAGCAGGCTAATAGAAAGTCAAAGAGCAAGTTTGGCCTAAATTGTTTCATTTTATTCCACTTTCGGGGAAAGCATTAATTTGCTCCGTTCTTTCCTTCCTCAGACCTTCTCTGAGCGGCTGCTGGGAAAATTCTCATTAGCAGTCCCGATCTTTGTTGCCCTCTCCTGCTTCGGCTCCATGAACGGTGGTGTGTTCGCCGTCTCCAGGTGAGCGAGTTCATGTATTTTCAGAAACACATTTCTGTTTTAGAGATTGGATGTGATAAGGATAGCTTTAAAAGAGAAAAGCAATAGTTCCTCCAGAACCTGTTGTTTTTAAAGGGATATGCGAGTTCCTCTTAAATTCCAGTGAAGCATGTTTCATTCTGTCCAGTAGAGGGCGCTGTGTGTCTACACATAGCCCACTCTGAGTAGCACATGCAGCATTTTTTTTTTTTTTTAAAGACTGTCTACAGGGTCTTATAACAGCTTTTATTTCTAGCGATAAAGTCTTTTGTTTTTCTGAAGGTGCCACGAAAAAGAGTAAAGTCGAAAGCAGAAATCACCACCCCACCATCTGTAACTCTTTTTCTTAGTTTGATAGTACAAAAATCTTTTTTGTCTATTTATGTTACAATTTAAATTAGAGAAAGGTTAACACTACATGCATGTACATGTGTGTACATGTACAATGCATGTGTGCTAGCTTGGACTGACACTAGCAATCTAGCACTGAATTTGCCACCAGCTACTCATGTATAGGAAGAACTCCATGCAGTGCAATATTGCTATTGTTTTTCCTCAGAGCAATAAAAGGTATTTCCCAGACACTGTATGTCCTGAAATGAGACTTAGGATGGAATCTGCCCTTTGTCTGCAAAGCACAATCCAAATGACCAGATAAGACATGCCAAGATGCCTAGCATGAGAAAGATGCATTCATGCTGCTTCAGGGATTTAAAACATTTTCCCATTTGAATGATTGATTCTATAGTCAACTTCACCGTTTTTTCTCCCCACAGGTTATTCTATGTTGCATCTCGAGAAGGGCACCTTCCTGAAATTCTCTCCATGATTCATGTCCACAAGCACACTCCTCTGCCAGCTGTTCTTGTTTTGGTAAAGCATATTAACAAGTAACTGTAGATATAACCTCACAAACTGTTTAGGAAGGAGGGAATGGAACAGGCATCCCGATTCACCACTCAGTTGGTGCTCAGTGTAACATGTTTGGGAGGCCGGAAAGTTTGCCATGGCTTGCTTTGACTCCCTGTTTTTGATGTGCGTAGGATGCCCTGGGATGTGACCCACCTCAGTTTCCGTTTCACCTTTGCAGAAATTTGTGAGGTGTGAAGGGAAATGAAGGCTGTGGTTTCTCTCCTTGGCAGAGAACCTCAAAAGAAAGAAAAGGAAAAACCATGAGGATACAATCTAAACTCCAGACTCAGAGTTCAGCTAAAAGCAGACTGTGCAAAAATTATCCATTGTCTCCTCTTGACTCCTGTCATACAACATAATTCAAAGCATAGATAAAACACTAAGCAGTGAAATGATTCTCTAAGAGGAACTGATACCTATAAGGGCAAAGAGAAGAAAGAAAACCCCTAAATGTAAATTGACGCTATGGAATTATCTAGGCTGGGAACAATATTTGAGAAATGTGGGATACAAAAGGCTATAAAAGGTGTAAGAGCCCTCAAATACCCATCTGCAATGCTACAGTCATTTTTCCCCCTCTGATTTTAGTAACATTTTTTTCTTAACCAGAATCTGTTGTCAAGAGCACCCTAGGATGCATTGAACATTCTTTTTTTTTCTTCTCCATGCATTAAATTTGTTTCAGAATGTTTCCTTGAAATTTCTTTTGAAAGTACGCATACGCTCTGTGCGCAATCTGGAAGCTAACATCACTTGTGGGAACAGGATGTATTATTCCGTGAAGAGGGCTTTCGTGGGAAGCCTCTGCTATCGCTCACGCTGTCCTTGGCTTTTTCAGCTGCAGAGTCCTGCTCTGATGTCCTCGTTCTCTATGTTTATTCTTCCCTGGTCTTGAGGGTCACACACAGTTAGCACAAGGGGAGAGTTGACCTGAAGTAAGAAGAGGTCAATGTTGTGCATTCAGAAGCCAAGAGCTTCACCCTCAGATGGCTGTTGCCTGTGTGTGGGCTCCAAGAGCACTTCAGAAATCATGTCAGAGCTTCCTTAGAGTTTCCCAGTTATCTGCATTTAATATTTATTATTGGCAGCTTGCTAATTGATTCTGCATGATTTTGAGTGTTTGGATGTTTTCTTTTTTCTTTTTTATTCTTTGGAAACACAATGTCTCAGGGAAGGTGTGCCTGTACACATTGCTAGTCTCACAAGCATGAGAACTTGAGTGTAGTCCCTCAGAACCAATGCTGGCATGGTAACTTGCACTGATAGTCTCAGTACTGGGGAGGCAGAGACAGAAGGCTCCCTGGAGATCATTGGCTAGTCAGCCTTGCCTACACTGCCAGTTCTAGACCAATGAGAGATCCTATCTCACATGGCAGAAATGTCTTCTGGCCTCCACATATACAAATATCCCTGCATTTATACACCTGTACACTTGTGGAAAGATGGACACTCTTCTACACAAAAACAAAACAACAGAAAGTAGATTCTCTCTTTTCCAATGAAAAAGGAACTGACAAAATAACAAAACAGCACATTTTTACAAGATTCCAACTGAAATTCCAATTCCAAGTTTGTCAAATCTAGACTTTGGTCAGGATGATAGCTTAGCATTATAAATAACTACTGGATGGGACACTTACACTGTGAGATGATGGTGGTACTGTTTGGTATTACCTGGTCCCTCTTAGTTCCTTTCAATTACTTTGTCTCTCCTCCTCCACCCCCAGCATCCTTTGACAATGATAATGCTCTTCTCCGGAGACCTCTACAGTCTTCTGAATTTCCTCAGTTTTGCCAGGTGGCTTTTTATGGGTCTGGTAGTCGCTGGGCTGATTTATCTTCGATACAAACGCCCAGATATGCATCGTCCTTTCAAGGTAACCTCGGCCATCTTGATGGGTTTACATAAATCTCTCTCCTAATACCTAGCCCTCTTTTATGTCTTAACTTGATGATGGGGAGTTTCGGTGGGGTAGGGTGCCGTGGAGTAAAATATGTAACTCTTTCAGGGAGCACCTTCTGTTGCACTTCACTGGGGAAACTACATGCATTTTTAAGTATGATATAGTGAACTTGTCACAGAATGTATCTGTGAGAACAGACAATGTTAAAAGATACTTTTCACATTGGGTTTTCATGCATGGCTTGGGTATGTTCAGAGAGTGGCATATCCTACTCTTCATACTAAATGGTTGCAAACAGCTAGGCTGTGAAAGAAAGAGTACTTCATTTGTTAAAACTAGGCCAAGGGTGCTGCTTTACAGATTAAGTATTTTAGTCCTCATTGTAACTTGTTAACATTGGGGTAGTTTTCCCCCATATACTCTGAAGCAGCAACTCTCCCCCAGTGGCTGAGACCCCTTTGGGGTTCAAATGTCCCTTTCAGAGGGTTGTATAAAACCATTGAAAACACAGATATTTACATTATGATTCAAAATAGTATAAAAATTACAGTTACAAAGTAGCAATGGAAATAATTTTATGGTTGGGGGTGGGAATCACCACATAAGAAACTGTATTAAAGTGTTGCAGCATTAGGAAGGTTGAGAAGCACTGCTCTGAAGACATATGAAATACTAAAGGAAGAGCTCACCACTGAGTAGGTGACCATTTACTCTACCTGGCAGTTTCCTTTGGCAGGGCTGGAGAGCAGGCTTGTCATTAGTCTTAGATGTCTGTGGGTCAGTGTGATCTCACTATTTATTTGCTTTTAAGACTTAGCACAGATAATGCTGCCAGTCATGTTATCAGGATTTGCCTCTAATTGTATTCATTGCCACATGCTCACAGCATCTTTATTAGCTGTTGACTAGGAGATGGCCTGTTTCATTCCCATTGGGTCTTATTGTAACTCTCAACAGGAAATCAATATCCACTGAAAGGCTTTAACATGTAGCAAAGCCACTGGCGCTCTTGACTCCGTGTGAAATCGGGTTCTAATTGTGATTATCTAAGAACCAATCTCCTAAGATGAAAAATGTAAAATCATGTTGATACTTTCCTAGCAAAGAAATTTGAGTAGACCGTCAGCTAGGAAGCACACTTTCCTAGCTCAAGACTTGGTCCACATGCTCTAAAGCAAGTTAAGAGACTATACCTACCTAGTGCATGCTCTGGGATGACCTGGTCACATGGCTCACACCCTCCACTCTGGTCTCTTGTGCTGACATGAAACTGTTTTCCTTTGGCTGCATTTCAGGTGCCTCTGTTTATCCCAGCGCTATTTTCCTTCACCTGCTTCTTCATGGTTGTCCTCTCCCTTTACTCGGATCCGTACAGCACTGGGGTCGGCTTCCTTATCACCTTGACTGGGGTCCCTGCATATTATCTCTTCATTGTATGGGACAAGAAACCCAAGTGGTTCCAACAATTATCAGGTAAGTGTTTTAAGCATCTTGGCCTTGGCTAGATACTGTGTAGTAGAAAACCCATTAAGCTGTACATAGCTAATATGCATCTCTTTAAAACTAAAGCTACAAGTGGTACAATGGTCAGTTAAACTAAATTACTGCATTGTAACTGCAGCATAAGGAGAAAGACAGGAAAGGCATGTAGAGTGCAGCCCTGTGGGGTATTTAATTCTGGTGATTGTAGTCACTGGAATTTTAGAGAAGGAATAGCTTCTTTAGGTAGAATTTTTTCAGTGCTCCCCACTGCTCTTTTGAATCCACTAGTGACATAGTGATTGTGTTCTTTGAGCAAAGTCTAATGACTATCATATCATTAAGTTGACCAATGATATAAGGTTTTTTGAAAAGTGAGGTAGAGGCCAGCAAATGTCTTAACCAGCATGGCTGTAATACTACCTTGTTAGGAAAAGTGAGCCAAAGAAGTTTCCAGTAACAACAGCAGCAACAGTAACCAAGCCAAGAATAGCAGCTTTCTTGAGTGGTTTCTTTGTGTTTGCTCATGTGTGACCACTTTCTCCTAACAACCATTTATGTAGTAGACACCATTGTCCATATTGCACAGACTTTGAGTTACATCACCAGAGAATTCAAGTCGCTCTTCCAAGTCATGTGGGTGTAAGTAAAAGAGCCAGGACTAGAACTCAGCTACTTGGCTTTGAAGAGGCAGTACAGGACACTGAGGGTAGAAGAGAAGAGGTTGAGGCTAAAGACACAGAAGGGGCATTCGTGGTTTCCAGTTAGGATGTGCAGTAGGAAATACTGAAGAACACTTGGTTAGAAGGTGGCTTTGGAAGAACCTCGGTGTCAGAGGCTTATGAGCTCTTTCCCCATCTTCACAATCTCAGATTCCCTGAGGACCCGTGTCCCAGATTCTGTTTCCTGCACCCAGGTGAAGAAGGCGGGGCTCAGCAAGAGGGAGAATTTAGAATTAGGTATACAGGGCCTGGAGCCTTACATCTAGGATTTGAACTCACATTTGCTGGACATCAAAATCCACTGCACCGCGGCAAAAATATCAGACCAAAACATTAGAGAGGCCTTGAGCACGGCAGAAAGCCTAGGAGAGCCAGCAGCCTTTGGGCGGGGCAGGGGAGAACAAAGGGAAATTCCATCCTGTTGTCCCACCTAGAAGGCTTTCTGTCTTTCCTTGTGCAGTCAGCCTGCTCTAGCTGGTCTCCCTTTCACTAACACAGGCGGGCTTCAGGCCACTCTGTCAGTTCAGATCAGGCATTTTCAAATGTGATCTTTCTTTGTTGCCCTTCTGTGCTCGGGTAATTTTGGAGATTTTGCTCTCTTTCTTCCTCCGATGATGTTTTGAGTATCTCCAAGGCTGCTTGCTGCATTAGCCATCTGTGGAAGGGAACTGCTGTGGAGGAAACCCAGGATGGTTGTTGGATCTCGGGACGCTGTTAACCCTTACTAGCGACAAGGCAGAATGCTCTGCTTTAAACTGTGATCAGTGCTGCTCTTTATCTTTATAGATGCCTTGAAAGGAAGTGGGGATAAATAGCAGTCCTCTGTAACTCTGTTTAATTTTCCTCTTAGGCAGCGTTCTTGTAGTAAGATAAAGAAAATTCATAATATTTATTGCTACAGAAGCAAGTATTTTCTTAGCCTTTGGCCAAAAGAAAACACACAGATGAAACCAGGGAGTACCCAACCCTTCCCCAAAGGGTTCTAACTTTGTGTTAGAGAGAAAACTCAACGTGAGCTGGGAGACAGGAGAGGCTTGCCCAGAGCACTTGGTTTAGGAGTTTAGTATCATGTTGCTTTGCCCAGTGAAACTCTCTAGTCTCTATTTTTTTTTCTTTAACCTTAGTATGTGTGAATAGATTAACCCTGGGAAAATGTGACAGTCTGGCAAAATGTACCATGCCGGGGCTGTTTCCAGAAATTGTAAACTAGACATCCTTCTGGTGCATAGACACCAGTGCAAGGCTGATTGGCACGGGCAGGGACTGCTCCAAGACTAAGGAAGTGAGATTGTTAGAGATCTGATGAATGTCTCTGGCCACAGGATGCCAGTATTGAACCACTTTTTATGTGATAGCATCTTCAGAGCTAGAAGAAAGCACTCTCTTAAGGGGGTAGTCAGAGATGCGGAAAGCTTTCTCCTCTGTCTATAATGATGGGGCAGACATTTGGTTGTTTATATTGTTTTTATTATATTTGTATTATGTTATAAATATATTTATATACCTATTTTATGTATTATATATTATATTTGTATATTATATATTATAATTTATATAATTGTAATATATATCTTGTATTACAAATTATATAAATTGTACGTAATATATATTATATATATTTATATTATTCACAAATTCACACACAGACAAACTTCTTAGAGGAGGAAAAGTGTGCAGTTTCACCCTAATATGTTTGGATACACAGAATACTAGACCCAGGAAACCCAGGCCAGGGCTAGCAACAGTCATTGAACTTGGTAGCTGCTAGTTATCCACCCAACCCTGTTGTAGCTGAGAGCCATTCAGAAGACTAGCAGTCAGCTCCTCTTGCTCAGGGAGAGATACAGAGGCAGCCCTGTTCAAATAAAATCTTTGGTTGTAAAAAGGGGGAAAAAAGGGAAAAAGAATTTACTCTGGCCAACATGAACAGAATGCCTATAATCCATCTTTGTGGACAGCAAGCTTGTAATTCGAGAGCCTAAAAGCACACACTGGTCAAAGTCTGTCAAGGTAGCTTCATTTGGAAACAGTCCACTGAACGCTGGTGAATGCATTTACAAAGTTTTCCTGAAGGTTAGAGTTTACCATTTTAATTCATTAAGTTTGCCTGTGTATTTCTCAGGGGCTCAAAAGATGTCCCACTAAATAAATATAAATAAATATAAAAATTAATATGAAAGCATTGACCTCCTCCCCCCTTTAAGAGAACATACTGTTATTTGTAATGTAATTTCTGGGACCGGAGAGCTTTGCACTGCTTCCCAAGCTCGCTCAGTCCTGGCTGTTGCGCCTCTGCGGATCCCAGGTGTGATGAGTGAGTGAGATTGTGTGAAGTCAGTTGTAGTTCTGGTTTACTTTAAGAACAACAAGGGAGGAAGATGGAACCTGAAATCACTGCACGGCTGTAAGGTTCTGTAGGTTGTAATTATGGAAAACTCCAACTGTAGGTCATCAACTTACCTTTATTTGAAAAGATATTAATATGGATTTATTATTGTATGGCCACTAATCTTATTGTGAGGGTGAATAGGGTATATGACACTCCAAAGACACATGTTCTGCAGTGTTTCTAGAAGCCTCCTTGGTTCTAATGAGCACCTGTGCCTGCCCCACTGTCGTAGGACAGCTTAGAAGGAAATGCTGGGAAACCACTGTGTACCTAAGGCCAAATGTCTTTCTGAGCACCCCATCATAATAACCGTTACAGCACCACTAGGACCCTGAAGGGAGAGCTGGGGAGAATGTCAGCTGGGCTGGTTAGGCTAAACCATCCACTCTGGGTCTTTGTCTTGCTCTGCTGAGAGGAGGGTAGAAACTCCACTTTCAGAAGGACACAGGGGCACCCCAGTTACTGCTATTGTCTGGAATGGATGCAAAGTTCCCACACCAGGGAGTGAAAGATCTAAGAACATGACGTGAGGACCTACGTTGTGAGAAAACAGTAGGAATGAGCTTTGATGTCAGGAGTGGAGGACTGAAGCTGAGTGAGAAGACAAGACATAGAGATTAGCTTAGGGGTCTATGCAGGGATGCCTTTGAGACATGAGCTTGAGGCCTTGTTTCTTTAACCCCATTGCTTTTCTTTACAACTGTGGTTTTTCTTTTTACCTGACTACTATCAGTTACTTAGCTCCTTGTCTACATATAAGAGCCACCTTCCCTGAACTATTGATAGACAATTTTACTATAAGCCTATTTTCATAGGATAATTTTACCTTTTCTGCAAATATGGGGTTTGGTTGTTGCTTTCATGGCAGAGTGGACTGTATAAAATATAATTTATTTAAGAAATATATAAGGTTTATCACTTGACATAACTATACATAAGGCCCCTTCCAATAAACATAGGGTTAAAAACAAATAAACAAAAACAAAACAACCTCCTCCCCCCCAAAAAAAAGACCAACCACACAAGGCAAACTACCTCAGGGATTATGGCTGTATTTGCTACTTTTCTTTCTTCAACAACAATATACCAGACAAGAGACAACTTAGGAAGGAAGGTTTGCTAGTTGAGGTGACTACAACCCATTCTGGGTGGCTAGTCTTCCTGTCTTCAGCAAGGGAGCAGAAGCCAAGTAGACACTGTATAGGAAGTAAGACTGTTATAAAGTTTCCAAGTCTGCCCTCTTAACCCGCATTCTCCAGTGAGGCTATACCCCTAAACCTTCTACAGCCCTCCTAAACAGTACCAACAGATGGAGACCAAGTGTTCAAATGAGGAACATTTAGCAACACCACAATGAGCAGAGAGGAAAGGATAAAAATAGCTTTTTAAGTGTAGTTACATATTGCTTGCAAGGGCTAGCTAGAATAGCAAGTCATCAGAGAAGAGAAGACTGTCTGGACAGGAGATGATTTGGGTCTGGAACCTTTTAGAGGATGGTAGATAGGCTTCTCTAAGATTAGGAGACTTTGGAAGATGTTCTATGGGGATTGGTGACAACAAGAAAAAAAGAATATCCCTAAGGCCATCACCACTGATCCCAGCACCCTAGGTCTGTAGTCAGAACGTGTCCTTAGAAGTAATGCTACCCAGGGGTTATTATATTTTGGTATCTGTTAGAGTTACCTCTTGCTGAGTTAAACCTTCAGCTTCTAAATTAGGAGACTGAGCCCTAGACTTGAAGCAAAATCAGAATTGTGGAGGGTGCTTAATGTGCTTGGTCTAAGGACCAGACCTTAGTGACCCAAATTAGTCCAAGTTTCTCATTCTATTCATGAGATAGACAAGGTCTTGATAATTAAAGTAATTTGCTCAACAGTACTACAGATTAGACACAGGAGATATTATTATCCTGACTGTCCCAAGAAATTGGTTGTCATCCCCTATGTAAAAAAAAGAACAAACCCATTTTGGGCTGAACATGAAGAATATTTGTAAACATTTATTTATATCTTGGTCCCATTGTCTCAAAATATTTTCAGCCTCCTGGTTAATAAATAAATGTTCTTATTTGAGTGCAAAATATTAATAAATTCTTACTGAGAGAGCATCATGGAAAGCTGTAAAAATGACAAGTCAACTAATTGAGGATGATAGGATTGTAATGAAGTAAATAATTCTTGAAAGTGCTCTGTAAAGAAGGGAGCTGTGTATTCTCAGTATTCATCCCCAAATAATTCACGTTTTTCTATTTTTATGCCGCTATGATTTTCATGCATTTTAATTTCTCCTTATTTCTTTATAGACAGAATAACCAGAACATTACAGATTATCTTAGAAGTTGTACCAGAAGACTCTAAAGAATTATGAACTTAATGCATCAAAAGCTTGGCCATCTGCCCAGGACCGAGATACAAAATGGATCTTTATTTCAAGAAAACATAACTTTGATGATGGACTAACGGAATCAGTTATCACTCTGCATATCCTCTAGTGTATTCAAATTAATTTCTGAGCAACTTACTGGTAACTCCATGTATTTGTAGCAGGCTAATATGTAAGTCATACAGTGAGGCAAGCTCACAGTTCTTGAGTCTAGTGCCTATCTGCTGAGGGAGAGGAAAATCCTAAGGGCATTGGCCCTTGGGCTATCTCATTTTCTACAACATTTCTTATGACTGAGAACCTTGAATAGAAGACCAAAATGGTTTCTGTATATATAAATATATGAGGTCTGTAAACATAGCTTTACCTACTGGGGACATCTATACTGTGAAAAGTATTTTGGTTTTTTTTATTTCTCTGAAAAAAAAAAGTCACTATTGTAGCAAAGAAGGCAGAATAACTTTGACATTGTCCTTGGATTGTTTTCCCTTAGTAATCAACATGGCCGTCACTTATCTTCCAATAGCTTATACTCAGAGCATCAGAACAAAAGATGAGGGAGTGGTGTGTGTGTGTGTGTGTGTGTGTGTGTGTGTGTATGTTTGTGTGTAGCTTGAGATCAAATTCACAGCTTTACAAAAGCCAGGCAAGCACTCCATCATTGAGATACATCTACACCTTAATTTTCTTAAATCCATAAAAGAACCACTTCCATGGGCTAGTATTCATGACACAATCCTAGGAACCGTGTTTGAACTAAAATCATTGAGAACTTGTTAGGTTAACTATGTCATCACTCATTGTCAGGAAGCTTGGTGTTTGCAGCATCACTGTACTTTCATTGTGATTTTTTTCCCCCTGAAGATGTGTACAGTTTGGTATGACATCCGTTGGTGAACCACCTCTTAGGTCATTTACTTCTTGGTGGACAAAACTGTTTTACTCATCAGAGCACAGTATCAGCACGTGAAACATTGCCCATAAAACTCCAAATATCAGGCTTTCTCTTTATAAACTCCATTTATATGCAGTGTTAGTAATTCTACTCACTCTTCACTTTGTGGCTGTTTTCACCTGGTGATGAGTATGCATTCTCTTTAAAGTTCTGTTAGAATCAGTCTCTGAATAAAACTTGCTGGATCAATTAGGAAGAGTACAGATTTACATAAAAAGTATGAAAGAAATACCACTGCTTGGTAAGACTCTCAACTGATCTTTGAAAATCTAGGCTGTTTTGATCACTTTAGTTATAATTAAATTTGTAAAAGAGGGAACTGTGACCAAACCTACTGGGGAACAGTCTTCAGTATTGTTGTTCAGCTACATGATGTTAAGTCAGAGTTAGAACACATTATCCATATTCAAGCGGGATTAAAGTAATGGTGGAATTTTCAAAACATTATTCTAACATCCAAAAATTAAGTGCTCATCATGGCCATAGTGAATTTCATCTCTTATATTCTGACTTCTAAAAAACAAAATGTTTTAAAATTTTTATCCCGAACTAGGTGTGGTAGCATATACCTTTTATTCCAGCACTTGGAAGGCAGGGAATTTCTGAGTTCCAGAACAGCCAGGACTACCTAGAGAAACCTTGTCTTAAAAAAAAAACCAAACCAAACTAAACCAAACCAAACCAAACAAACAAAAAATATTATCCCAATTACAAAAAAACAATGAATCTATAGGTAATTTCCCAAAGTACAAATGATGATCTTAATCTGGAACATTTCACCAATTCAGCATTTTCAGGCTCAAGAACATTTAATATATACCCAAAGTTGACTTTGTTTTAAAAGTCCAAACCAAGTGTTTATTTCTCTAAGTAGATTACTAATAAATTTTCCTGGTTTTACCAGTATGGGCTTTCCCAAACCATGAGACTAGTCTCTAGAGCCAACATAGTGTTCATTTGTTGACTTCTATTTGTGGCTAGAGGTACACATTAGTATGTTGTTATATTTACACCAGACCCATGAGATTTATCAAGGCGGGGCCTTCTGCTTACCTATGAAATAGAGTAAAGCCATGGAGAAGGTCCTGTGGTCTGTGGTTCTTCCTGAGGCTCACGTGCTCCTTAGCCGATCAGCCTCATTGGGCTATTTGCTTGCCTTTCCATGTGCAAGCTAGTCAGGATACACTTTATCATTCCTTCTCTTGTTTCTAAGAGGTTTTTTTGTTTGTTCTTTTGGTTTTTTTTTGTATTGTTAAATTTGTAATGCCACTGCAATACCATTTTAACCAAGCATGAAAAGAAAATCAGTGTTTCTTTAAAGTACTGTCCATTGGACCGTGTTCTCCTTATTCAGAAGTTATACCAGATGAGAACATAGAGTTCCTTTACTCATGGAATTCGTGTTCATAATTGTTAGTGAGATCATGTAAAACAGATTTTTATCTGGGAATACTCCTGCACACTTGTAATGTGTGTGTTTTTATACAAAGTAAATTTTTTCTCATGTTTTAGATTTATATATGGATACATGCATGCAATTACATGTGTTAATGTTTGTGCTGATGTATGTATTTGAATGTTTATATAAAAACATGATTTGATTACTATCACACAGAGTTAAATACAGCCTAAACAGTTTAAAATAAACAATACTCTATTTTCAAATATTCTTTGTTTAGTACACAAAACATCAAACATCTAACTTTTAAAGCATCTGGTAAAGATTTTCCAAGCTTAGGTGCAGTTTTATTCTCCTCGATGATTATAAATATTTCCATTGACTGATATTCTTATAGCGCTATTTTATCTCTTCTTTTAAAGCACTAGATTCTCCCCTCTGATTTCAAGTGGCTCTTGGAAATGGTGGTTCTGCTCAGCAGACAACAGGTCCTGCTCTTGTCTTTCATCAGGAGATTGAACATTTCTCTAAGTAAACATGGCTGAGTCGAGGTCCACTTGTGGGATCATGAGTGTACACCCACAGTCTGTGCATGTTTGCACCCCCAGCCCTGCTGGTACTGGGTCAGGACAGCTGATGGGGCTAGTTCTCCCTGCTCTGCAGTTTCTATAACACTAAAAAATATATATAGAAACATTTTGTTTTTCAGATTGCCTTATGCGTCTGCTTAAATTGTTTTCTTAATTGCCATTTGAACAGCAACAGATGGTTACCATGAGGATGATTCCTTACTAGAAGTTTTAGTAAGTTGAGATCAGCCTTTGGCAAACTCCCTGTTTCATCTCAATTTACAGGTGAATAAGATGCTAAGAAAGCCTGCTTCTCTCCCTTTGGATGATATCCTATAACTGAGGTGGGAAAAGACAATTTAAGGTCACTACCACATTTTACCATCATGCCACAAAGGGAAATATCAATGCTTGTCTGTAGAATTTAAATGAGCATTCTGAGAAGCTAATTAAGCAAGAGTATGGATGCCTCTAATGCACCTAAGTACCTTCCAAGATCCCATCCATACCCAGCACTCCTTTGGAAAGATTATATAGTTTTAAAAGAAGACCAGGGATTGGGGCTGAAGAGGTGGCTTGGCTACTAAGATCACTTAACTACCCTTACAGAGAACTTGAGTTCAATTTCCAGCACCTATACAGTAGTTCATCATGATAGGTAACTACAGTTCCAGGGGGTCCAGTGCACTCTTGTGTGTACAGGCATGCACATAGTACACATATGTCCATGCAGACAAAACACTCATATATATTAAATGTATGTGAAAAAGTTTTAAATACATGGAAATGTATATAGACTTTGGACACTGTAATATCTATATTTTCTTTGTGAATAAGTTAAAAATTGTTCCCATTATTTTTCCATTAAAAGTAATCATAGAATATCTGTAAAACACATTTTAAATACATACATACTATGTTAATTGAAATATACACATAAAAACAATTAGTGGCTGTCTTGTAAGGTGTGTGTGATAGAGAAGTCAGTGAAGTCAACTGGGTTAGGTTGTGAATAACAGAAAAGCAATGAAGGAGGGTTTTTTGGTAGCTCTTTTTTATTATTTTTGGAGAGAAATAGATTTGAGATTTCAATGGAGATGACTCAAGAAACTTTATTTTATTTGAATATCATTGGCTTCCTGATGTGCTATGTTGATACTGATAGAATGCAGGGTGATATGTCCCTAATCATTCAAACTGGGAATTAAGTCATGACGTTGTGTGATGGCAAGGAGCTTATAGAGAAGACAATGAATCATTTGCATAGCTTCTGTTTACATTATATATGGATAAAGGAGTGATTGAATGCATATATAGTTTAGCTACATTTCACTACAAACAGTATTTCAAAAGTCTATTCTTAACGTATTTGACAGCTGAAAGTGTGACCTCTAGGTGGACTTCTGATCACTAATATACTTGAAAAATAGATGATTTAATAGCCAATTTTACAAGCAATCCTTTGTTTTATTGAATTTTCCAATTATTTGGTATCTAAACATAAATGTTTTGTCTGTTTTGTGTCAAGTAAATGTTGCAAAAGCATATGTTATGGGCACATAGGAAGTTCACCTGTTCATTTTATGAGGGTGTGTTCGACTTTATCAGCTTACGATAAAACTGTTACTCTTTTTTTATCATTTCTGTTCTATTTGCATAAAATAACAGTTCCCTATATTTCAGTTTTTTATATTATTCCCTCAAGATGGTAACTATAGAAAGACTCACTTTCTAAGATTTTCTTAGTGAAAAAAAAATCTGCTCCTTCCTTCTCTTCCTTATTTTCAGTTGGCTTGAAATACAGAGGTGGGTTTGAGCCTGCAGACAGCTCCCTGCTACATGGTGTGTGTATTTTAGCCTGTTTAGATCAAAGGTACTTTTGTAATATCAATCCCAACCTGCACAGTTTTATAGACAATACTTTCAAAGACCCAGTTACTCATTATGCATCTGAGAGCCATGTGGCTGGCAGAGGCAATTCAAAAGGAAGCAGACAACCCCCTTTAGCATACACACTACAGATTTTTAGAGTGAATGAATTATTGTTTAGAGGACTTGCTTG